TGCAACAAAGGGCCACAGGTCGGATTCGAACCCGGGTCGGCCGTGTCGAGGACTAAGGCGTCTCTACATGGGCCGTGCACGCTAACCGCTGCGCCCAATGGAACATTTCAGGGATTTATTTGAGCTTTTTTTCTGTTTCTTACTTGAAAGCACAGCTGATGGTAACCAGGGAAATATTTGTTAGGAGCGTAAATAAATACTTCTAGTTGGAAGCAAACAAAAAGAAGGAACTCACCCGAATCTTCATCGTCCGTGTTTTTCCTCCACAGTTCTTTTTCAGCAGCATTTTCTGTGGAGAACAGAACAGATTATTTATACTTTATCTATAAAACCAACTTTCCCATTGAACCATTCAGAGTGCAGAAACACTTCATCACATATGAGGATGAATCAGATTGAGGATGATGATGGAGGTGCTTCAAACCAGCTGTCTGACTAAAACTAAACAGTCAAAGCTTATGCAATATCCTGTCTCCCACTGCCCTCCATGTCCACGCAGCTTCGCCATTCTTAGGGAAAACACAAAAACACAGTGGGGGTGGAGGGACCACACAATCATTAGATTGTCTGAAGTTTGGAGAGGCAGCTTCCAAGGGCTGCAGCAAAGAATGGAAACACAAGACAGAGAGCTGCCGTCCACTTGGCCTCATCCTCACCTCCTGCCAACCCTCATCTTCTCTGTATCCGTGACACAACCGCCGGCCGATGGTTTGAAACCTGAATGGAGAACAGATACAACTCCCCCTGCAAAACTTTGAACTACTTTCACAGAGACAAACTGGATGAGGAGGTGAAATAAGAGCTGGGTTAATTATCGGCACAAACTGTTACAATAATGCCAACATCCTGCAGCTGGGAAACCATCTTCTGCTGCACGATATTCCTCATCTGTCCCAACTTGTCAGAGGATGATTGTTTCTTTAGATAATAAACATCAACCACACAACCTTTTTTATTTTAGGATTTTAAAGATTCTATACAGTTAGAATCTATGAAAAAAATTTTTCTGTTTTCTTTACACTTCAAAACCACAAAGATGTTCCCCTTTTAAAACATATTAACGGCAGAGTCATGCTGGGGGCAACGCTTTTATTTAACAGGGACAAAAACTGGTTGGAATAGACGGGTTGATGAATGAAGTGACTGTTAAAGTGAAGGTGAAGGTTTGTCTTCTAGCAGCATGAAAACCTTAAACCAGAGGTTGCTGATTAGCGGACCGCGGTCCGGATACGGACCCACCTGCAGGCTAATCCGGACCCAACCGGATTTAAAACATTTATAAATGATGTTCTCCGACACCAGTGTCTAATTTCACTTGCACCACTTCTCCTGTTTGTGCGGTAAAGCCCTCCAGAGCGTTCGACACCAGGCTAAACGTGATGAAAATTAGCCAATGAGCTGTCAGTCTGGGTCGCTGCTGTTAGCCACTTTTATGCTACGTTCACACCTAAAGCAGCAGGAGCAGCTAAAACGCGCGCGCTGCTTCATTTCTGATGCTTGTACCAGTTTAGTTCTGACGCGC